CTGGCCAGTAATCCAGTGTGCTCAAAAAAATTTGCAAGCGTGGGACGGTCTACCGGTACGTAGCCTCGCACGTGACAGCACTCGGCCCCCTTTCTGGGTGCGACCACGCCAAGCAGAAGGCATTTTTGGAGAAGATTAGATTAGATTAGAGCATCCTACAGGGCCAGGCACCACTGCCTAATCCGATATTTTTCGCCGTCGGCACGGTACCCTGGACACTAACGGCTGAAAATGGAGAAGGGGATGCTCGACCCAGGGTTACGGCTTCCCCTAAACAGAGCGAAGTCCAGCCCCCCTTTGAATGGGACGGGTCGGCACCGTTAGTAGGCAGGGGCTGACAGAGTGGAAAGGGGCGGATCCGGCGGCCCCCAGCGGGCAAATGTGGACCACCCAAAGCAGAGCGCCCCCCCCCCCCCCCCAAATAAAGCAAGCCAAACCAAGCAGCAAGCGCGTGCAAGCGTAAAGGATACGTGTCAAGCAGAAAGGATGCGGGGCAGCGTAAAGGATACAGGCAATTATAAGCGGCAGCTTTATTCAACTTCTAGGGGTGGCAGGTCAACAAGCTCAAGATCGAGGTCCTCATCCGAGTCATCAGGATCCTCCTCGGAAGAGACGTCGCCGTCCAAGGCTGTGCGGACATGCGCCGCCAGGCCGCCCTTGTTGGTGGCGAGCTCAGCCCAGCCGCCTGCTGGCGGGCCCAGCCGGGCCAGGTCTTCTTCCAGCGACTTATTGAAGTCGTGGCATGGGCGCCCAGGCTTGAGTCCGAGCTTGAAGTGCAGTGCTCGCCGGAGTGGGTGGGCCGGGTCCCGCCGCATGATGTGGCCCCAGTACCGCACCCGACATCCACGGATGGCCCTGGTGACAGAGCCTTGCCGGCGAGCCACCCCTCGCAGGCCGGCCGGGCGGCGGGGGTCGCGCCGGGCCAGTGCCATCAGGCTGAGCGCCAGCACATCCGCCTGGCGTCGCAGCGTAGACCTGGTGGCCTTGGTGGTGGCCACCGTGGCGTGCGCGTAGCTCAGGGCTGGTAGGACGGCGCACGTCCAAATCCGCGCCACCACCTTGGGCGGGAGCGGGTGCCGGTAGAGCAGCGGCTGGAGCGCCGCCACCGAGCGCCTGGTGGTGGTGATGCGCTGGTAGGCGGTGCTTCGGCGATCCAGACTGGCCGTGATGAGGGCGCCGAGGTAGAGGAGCCGGGCCACCTGAGGGATGACCTTGCCGGCGATGATGGCGGGGCGCGGGAGGGGACGGAAATCCTGAGGAAAGGGAGTCCTGATCAAATATTCACATTTGTGGAAGTTCAAGACTAACCCTATCTCCCGCGCCGCCGCCACAAAGCTGTCCAGGAAGGCGTGCAGGTCCTCGATGTCCACCGACGCCACCAGAAGATCGTCGGCATACGCAAGCAGGAGCGGGGTGAAATCCACAGCGGCGACGTCAAGGCTGAAGCCGGGGAGGTACTGCACCGCCGTCTTGATGGCCCAGTGGAGAGCGCGCGTGAACAAGAAGGGTGCAAGGGAGCAGCCTTGTTTCACGCCGCGGGCCGTGCGCACCACGCTGGTGCGGGCGGCGAACCACCTGATGGAGGTGTGGTCCGTCAGCGCCAGCGCGGTGACGCGGTTGAGGAGAAAAGGGGTGACGCCCTCAGCCAGCAGCACCGCCGCGAGTTCCCGCCGCCCAGTTGACGGGAACGCGGACTTGATGTCCAGCGCTAAGACGTGGACGGTGTCCCCGGCCCTCTAGCGCACGTCCAGCACCTTCCTGAGCAGCATGATGTGGTCGTATGTCCCCCTCTGCGGTTGGAACCCAGCCTGATACCAAGGCATGGGCGGGAGCACCGCAGAGAGGAGCATCAGGAGGTGCTTGGCCAGCAGCTTGTAGATGACGTTCCCCAAGGTGAGCGTGCGGTAGTCCTCTACCGTCCGCGGGCGCGGCACCTTGGGGATGGGCTGCTGGACCGACGTGACCCACTCCACCGGGAACACCCCCGCCTCCCAGGCAGGGCCGATCACCGCGGCGAGCTGCTTAAAGAACCTCGGCGGAGCGTACTTGAAGAGTTCGCCCGGCAGCCCGTCCGGCCCCGGCGCAGTGTTGTTGGGGAGGGTCCGGGCGTACCCGGCGAGCTGGTCCGCCGTGGGCGCTGGAGCTCCGGGGTCGGGGGCTTCCTCCAGCACCGGGACCGGGGCGCCGTCCTGGAGCCCGTCCGCCCACCTCTGCCAGTCCCGGATGGTGGGCCCGCCGGCCCCCGCGGCCGTGGGGGCCCGCTTGGAGACGCGGAGATGCCGGAACAGGACGTGCATGCGGGCGGCTGGGCGCGTCCCGGTCACCGAGGCGAAGAAGCGCCCCTGCTGCTCCATCTGATGTTGGTCACGGGCTGCGCGCTGCGCCGCGCGGGCCGCCCGGAGCCGGTCTGCAGCATAAGGCGCCCTGCCCGCCCTGTGGTAGGCCGTGAGCGCCGCCGCCGTCGCGTTCGCCGCCACCTGCCGTCGAGGAGTCTGCGGGTCAGGGCCCGCCGCCAGGACGCCGTCAGCCGCCGAACGCAGCGCGTTCACCAGGTGCCGTCAGGTGAATTCTCGCCTGGCGTGCGCCTCCTGCTCCACCAGGAGCGCGTCCAGGGTGGCAGCGTAGTTGGCCTGGAGGTCCAGGTCGGCGGCCAGCCGGCGTGTCTCCCAGGCTGTCCTTGGAGGGTGGAGGAGCGGCGCGCCCTGGGCGCCGTGGGCCCCTCGAGGGCGGTACGGCCGTGCCGCGGGCGGGTCCAAGGCGGCGAGGACACACTTGTGGTCCGTCCGGATGTGCCGTGGGTCCAGGCCCTCCACACGGCGGACGCGGGGGAAGTCCGTCAGGATGTGGTCAAGCTGCGACTGCCTGGGCCCGTCCACCCTGGTGACCCTGCAGTTATGGGCCATGGCGCCGGTGCTGACAATCGGCATGGACTGCTGCTGCGCCAGCTGGAGCAGCGCCACCCCCGCGTCGTTGCTGTAATCGTGAAGTAGAGCCGTACCAACCTCTGGGCAGGGGGGGGGGGGTGTCCTTGCTGCCCAAGTGAGCATTGAAGTCGCCCGCGACGATGCGCCAGCGGTCGCGCGGCAGCGCCGCCGCCACTGCCGCTAGCGCCGCGAGCCCCGCCCGCTGCCGCGCCGGCGCCCCTCGGCTCCCGGTGTTGCAGGGGATGTGGGCCCCGACTATGGCGAAGGGCACCCCTCGCACCACAGCCCGGACCGACAGGATGTCCGAGTGGGGGAAGGCGTAGGTCGTCACGTAGGTACTATCCGCGAGGCCGCGGCGGACGAGGACCGCGACGCTCCGGTGCCCACTCGGCGTCGTTCCTTCCTCCAGCCAGCGGTAGTTGGGGGTGCTGGTTATCTGGCGCGCCATCCTGGTCTCCTGCAGAATCGCTATATGGACGTCCTCCTTCAGCAGGAATGCGTCCACCGCCTCCTGCAGTGCTGGGGACTGGCATGTCCTGACGTTCCACGTGGCTATGCGGACAACCCCCGGCCTGTGGTGGAGGATTGGCCTGAAGTCCGTGCGCGGCGGCGGCTGCAGCGTCAGTGCTAGGGGCGCCTCAGCCGGGGTGGAGCCTATGCCGCCCGATGCCGCGCCGCTGGCGCCGGAGACAGACTGGCCCTCTCCCGGCGGGTCCGCGCCTGGAAGGGGGGCCTGGCCAGGGCGGCCCTCCTCCTCCGGAGCTAGCTGGAGCACAAGGGGGGCCTCGGCCACCACCACGTCGAAATGGTAATAAGGCCGTGGGGCCAGCGGCCCGTCCTCCAAGAAGGCCGCCAGTACAATCGGCCGCACCCGCGGGCCGCCGTGCTCCGCCGGCGGAAGGATGGTCAGTGGGTCAGCCGCGGGGGGCAGGAGCCGCAGCGGCCGGGCCAGGATCGCAGCCAGCGCCTGCGCGCACTCGAGGCCCGCCGGCGTGTCAGGGCGTTCCAGCAGGGCGAGGGCCTCCTCGACCGGATCCTCGTCGTCGGCCTCAGGCGCCATGCGTCGCCGGAAATTAACCAGCGGCGCGGCGTAGATGTCTTGGTGCCGACGCAAAAAGTGGACCGCCGCCCGTCTGAGCTGAGGCGCCTGGTGCGGGGCCTGAGCCGGGTCGTCGGGCCTGACCGCCAGGGCCGCCGCCTGGAAGAGGGAGTTAGGGCCAGCGTCCACCTCTAGTGTTGTGACCACCCGGTCGCCGGATTGGAATTCCGGCATGTCCGCTGCTCCGCCTGTGGTGCAAAAAAAAAAAGTTCCGTTCAGGAACGGATCGTGAAAGCAGATGATACGAATTCAAGAATTATTCCAGTCTATAATATTTCAGTGGAAGATCACGTTACGCATTACTTGTATAGTATATAGATAATTTACAAATCTTAATTCACATTTAATTAGGTACTCATGCATGAAAAGATTTGGGTTGTGTTCTGCGTCTCCTATACTTTGTAATGTTTTGAAGGGTCTAAGACTCGGTCTAAGACTACGTCAGTGTGAAGAGAGACGTAGAGACAGTTTGCGAGTGATTCTTCGCAATAGAGACATGGTTTGAAAATAATGTTTCTGAATTCATTTAGTTCTGTCTCTTCATAGTTACGTTAGAGTTTGAATTACCGCGCCGCGCGCGTTCCTCAGCCGAGACGGTCCGAGCCGAGCCACCCCGTACGAAAAAGTTTAGTCCGGCATCAGTCCGTTTTCGGTCCGGAAAGAGTCCGGCTGGACAGTCCGGCATCAGTCCCCCAAAGCGCGCGGACTAGTCCGCGAAAAAGGCCAGATCGACCAAAAAACGACCTATTTGCCGGACTAGTCCGGCTGGAACTAGTCCGCTTTTGGTGCGCACCGGACTGATCGCGGACTGGTCCGCACGCCGAGAGCAGACCGAAAGCGGACCAGTCCGGCACAGTCGAACTGCGCCCCCCCCCCCTTTTCTTTCCAAAACAAAATAATACCCCCTGCCCCCCTCAAAAAAAGGGGGCATTTGTTTCAAAAAAGGACTAGAGGACATTATTGGTACAACAAGCAAATGAGATGAGAATTCACGTGTTTATTCAATTCAAAAGTCAGATAAAACATCAGTCAGATAAAACATCAGTCAGATAAAACATCAGATACAAAATGATGAAACTATGTAATTATGTACAGATTAATTAAAGGGGATTTTTTAGGTACAGTTAATTAGAGAGCAGTAAGGCAAGGAATATCAGAGTTCTGGTTGAACCAACTAGGTTCAGCAGGTTGAGGAGATAGACCTAAACAACAGAAATTATAAATTAGATGCCTGCTATGTGCATTAAAGCTTCTTGAACTTAATTGAAAATATCATACCTTGGTGAGGGGGGTAGTAACCAGGATAATTCTGGTTATAACCTGGATAATGTTGGGCACCATGATGCCAATCTGATCCAGATGGACTGCTCTGATGCGGGGAATATGAGTTGCTGTTGGTGTTCACCAAACTGGAGGGAGCCAGAGGCGAGTTGCTGACCTGGGGCTGGTTGATGTTGACCAAATTGGAGGAAGCCAGAGGGGAGGCTGGTAGCTGAGCAGATTCAAGCTGAAGCCTGAGTGGGCTTGAGTTCAGAAGCTGCTCCTTCGCAGGAGTGCGCTTTGAACCCCTCACCCTGTGTATCGCTGACCTCTGCTTATTGATAATCCTGTTGAAATTGGCTTCATTCAGGACTGGATAAGC